CTAAAAATCATGGAAAAAATATCCTCAGGTGAGGATTAACAACAACAAAAAAATAAGTTAATTCTGTTTTAAAAGCAAACTAATGTACTAACAATCCTGGAATGGATATTCAAAATTCTAAACCAGATAGTACTGCCTTTCAATGGGATTTGTATCGAGTAATAATCATCACAGTCACACTCACTCAGCACCAGCATGTGCCAGGTTCAGCACGGCCCCTGTGGGTTGTGCGTGTAATACTTACATCACCTCAGCCGTGACAGAGCCAGGACAAGAGGCCGAGGCTGGATGACTATACACTGCCACACACTGTGGTTTTAAATGTGGTGCCTTTTTAAAAAAATATATATTTTATTGATTTTTTACAGAGAGGAAGGGAAAGGGATAGAGAGTTAGAAACACTGATGAGAGAGAAACATCCATCAGCTGCCTCCTGCACACCCCTACTGGGGATGTGCCCGCAACCAAGGTACATGCCCTTGACCGGAATCAAACCTGGGACCCTTCAGTCCGCAGGCCGATGCTCTATCCACTGAGCCAAATCGGTTAGGGCTGTGGTGCCCTTTTTATAGACACTCTGTCACATCTAATCCTATAGTATCTCAATGGAGATATAGCAGTGGTTCTCAAAGTGTGTTCCCAGTACCAGCAGCATCAGCTGGGACCTTGTCAGAAATGCAGATTCCTGGCCTATCACAGGCTGACTGACTCAGAAGTACTAGAGCTCTGTGGTTGACTCTAGGTGATTCTGACTAACATCTGAGAACCACTGAAGAGGAAGGGAACTGAGATTTACTGAACAAATTAATAGCAAAAATCAGACTTCCATGAGACTAGTCTGATCCACAAAAAGGACAATTTCGTAGGATCCCCGAGCATTTCAGAAATAGTTATTTTATATAAATGAATAATGATAATGTATTAGCTCTCCATGGTCCTCTGTCCTAGGCAATTCTCTAAAAATCAAGTTGTAGGCAGTGCATTTAAATTATTATACTTACACTAGCTATGGCTGACTTCATTTGGATTCACATGAAAATCGTCCCTTTCTCCTAACTGCACTGTGCATCTAATCCAGGCTGAAGGGCCAAATATTTCCATGTTAAGCTATAAATGTGCAAGTCTACGTTTTACAGGTTAGAGGTGGGAGATGGGTGAGATTGGGGCTCCCTTTACATAGAGGTTTGTCCTAGAAATTCCTGAATGGCAAGTGGGTAAGTGACAGACATGCAGAGTGACTGCTGCTAG